TCCTTAGGGCGGGGTCGTCGCGTACTAATTCATGCAACCCCTAAACAACGCCAGTTTCCATTTCATGTTCTATGTTCTTTTCGAGTTGATTCCCCCTCATTGGGCGTAAGATCCCCATGAAATATCCCCTATATACTCAAAAACTGTACCCTAATATGAGATAGTGGCTTCCATTTTAATTTCCATTATCCCTAAATAGTCCCTTGCCCAAGCCACCTTGCTTGAACTGGCCCTCGTAGGCTCTGCCGTCTTGCCACGTCTGTCGGCCCTGCCGAGACATGGATCGCAAGGGCGTAGGAAGCGTATAAAGCTCCACAGGGGTCACGTAGAGTTTTGGAAGGGAGTTGGGGCAAACAGGCCCTAGATTTACCAAAGTCATACAAGGGCGTAGAAGGATCCAGTTGATCATCTGGGATGACATCAAAATCTTGTAGGACACGTAATTAGAGCGGAGAGGCTCCCAACATTCGGAGAACTACATACCTCACAAATTTCCTGACTTTTTTCATCAGAGGCAGCAACAAGACCTATGATATTTCAAGGCCTAACTGCAATCGCCCAGTTTTGGGATTGTATGCGGACATGAACCCTGGGTTTTCAGAACATTTCACAGTGTTTCCGCGCCTTACCATCTCGCTGATCGTACCTCGCAAGCTGCATCTGCAGCCAATGTTTGCGCATCTGAACGAGTGGCCTTTGGCCATCAGCCTATGCAACCAAGCCTGTTTAACGGCTGCTGCCAACTGCGCTGAGCAATGCTGCTTGCACCACTCAGATAGACAAACAACACTCAGCATGACGTTAGTTAGTTAGCAAAACACGAGAGATCCAAAATGTAAACAGCTGTGTACATCGTCTCACTCGCAAGAGGCTTCTCCTCAAACACTCGCATTCAGCGCATGTCGGACACATCCCAAGGCTGAAAAAGACATACAAGAGCCTCATGATCCCTACAAAGAGTCTTTCAGGCATCCAACTTCATTGAACTGGCAAAGGCCTGGCAGGTTTGGTAACTTCTGAACGCGACAAGCTAAATGGTGGACCGCTCACGGCACGTTCAAGCCCTATCTCACGCCAAGAAACCCTCTGTAACTCCATGAGGCTCGCTCGGGCCAAGACCCTTGACGGAAGCTGTAGGTATCCATATAGATTTTTCCTTCCAAGCTGCACCCATTGACCGGAGTACTGCTCCGCAGCAGAGGTCCATGTACCATAGCCATGGCGCCTGAGCATGGCCAGAAAAATGAACATGCATGATAAGAAATGAGCACAACCTGTCTGAAAATGCTAACATGTGCGGCAGCCTCAAGAAGGGCAGTGGCCTTCAGAATCGTTGTAGAATTGGAGCCGTGGCAACAATCAGAAGAATAAGAACATCGGCAACCGCAGCAATGGCGACAACGCCGCCGCAGCAGCAAGAGCAGCAGGAGAAGGAGTAGGAGTAGGAGGAGTAGTGATAGTGGTAGTAATGTGGTGGTGGTGGTGGTGGTGG